GGATTTGGTAAGTTTGTTGAGTGAGATGCCACCACTAAGTGACATCACTCTACTCTGTACTTTCGGAGCCAAAAGGGTGGCCGAGTTCCATTTTCTCTGTCGCTCTGATTTCACCATAGGAGCGTCAACCTATGTAGTGGGGGAAGGTCAAGATGAGGCAACAAGAGCTAGATATGAAAGTAAGTACTTTTAACTATATTTTAAAAGGCGAAGACATGAAAGTATTGTGTAATTTTTTCATGACCACATACCTCATTATAATTTATTACAGGGTTGGTGCTTGGAGAGAGACTCGTTGTGAGCGAAGGTGTTATGAAAGAGGTGTTTGGGGAGGAGGAGATGGCAATACTCCACCGTGTTGCGCTTGAGATGGCTTACGCTGATAGGATTCTGGGTCGTGGAAGCAATGAAGGTGTGGTACGAAGAATGGAGATTATCCAGCTTGACGACGATGCAGAGATGGCTGATGTCAGTCAGGCCGTTGCGTCTTCTGAAGGTACTGTGGCCGAGAACAGAGGTATGTAAAGTCCAAGTAGCAAAAGTATATTGCACACGGAATTAGTATTTTTTGCTCACTAATACTTGTGGGGGTTGTCCTGGATAGGGACTATTGTTACAGTCGAGTCCCAACAACTCACTCCAACTCCTGCTTCTGAAGCACCTTCTGTTGTTTGGGATGTTGGGCTTGACTTGTTCGACTATCCAGAGATGTATAACTCCGAATTGGGACGTCGTAAGCTAGCTGAGGACGCTGCATTTTGGGAGGCTGTCATTCAAGCAAATCTCGAGGATGATGAGGAGGTAATGTACATAGCCAGCCATAATGAAATCCGTGTGGGTTTGGCATCAGAGGGGAGAAGGCAGGAAGGAAATGGGGAGGGGTCCTCATCATCTGCAAATGTCATATGCAGCCCTCTGGTAGGAGCAGATGTGACCACCAAAGAGAAGGAGGTTGGCAGCAATGATAATGGAGGTGAGGGTATTTGTATAGCTATCTACATATTGGTAAAACATGTTTGTTTCTGTGAAATAATTTGAGCTTTGTTTTTTCAGTGACGGAAGTTATTGAACTTGATGCGGATGAGGGAGGCAACAGTAACATGCCAGCTGTCACAGTAACCGTGGCCGGAGCCTCAGCATCAACTGATGGTCAAAAAGAGGCAGGTCATAAGTCAGGCAATACATCCTCAGAGGGCAGCGACAACGACGGTGGGTCTTGAATGGAAGTGGTTAAGTGTGTTTACAAATGTTAAATATAGATCAAGTATTTTATCTTTTGGCGTATTAAGGGTAAGGTGCGGTTAATGGTCGGTTACAAAAAAGTTTAACCTCAGGTGGCTTGTTTTTGAGAGGGTTAAACTTTTACGTAACCGAGACAAAGTCTAGCTATTTTCTTGTGCTTTTTTTGGAATTTGTCTCGGGAAGTTTGTGGTATTAAAGGGCATTATGAAGGGGTTCTATGTTTATCTGATGTATGAAAAATGATGTACTGCTTTGAAGGCTGTATAAAAAATATAATCTATATGTTGCATGTTTATAGTAGGTGAAACTGGTAATGATTACGGTTTGGTAACACTTATCTTATGTGAATGTGCAAAATGCCGTTGTCTAATGTTATATGGCCACTGAAAAAAGTGGGTAATAGCTATGCATAGCCGGCTACACGGTTTAAATGTATTATGCTGAATAAGATATGCGTAGAAGGCAATTATGTTCGTAACCGGCCAAACGAAATGAGTAGAAAATTTTTTTTTCTTTCAACAAGGTCTGAGGTTACACACCAAGTTAACCAAGTAACCTATATTATTAGCTTTCGTACCACATTGGAAGGTTGGTGTGAAGACTTTAAGGGAATTTGCCTATTACTTAGTATGAAATTTGGTAAAGGACTATATATTATAGGGTTGCATATGGGAGACAACAATTTCGTTATCACGGGTATAGTTTGTGAATAGGTAGGTTAAAAATAATTTTTACCTGGCTATAATATCATGCCTATTGTGTAACAAAGCAAACTTAAGCTATTATGAAATCTGGCCTTCACCTGCTTACCATGGTGTATAAAAGATTATTAAGATTATTTCTTAATTTTTGTCCAGGGGATGACAATTATGCGTTTGGAGAAGACATAAAAGTTGGAATGTTGTTCAGGAACCGTGATGCATTCAAGCATCATGTTGCAATGTTTGCAATTGCACAGAAGTTCTGCTTCAGATGCACAAAGTCGGATCCTGGGATGATGGTATTGCAATGCATTGGGGCATCTTGCCCATGGCGAGTGTACGCAATTAAGATGAAAGATTCTGAAGTGTTTGAGGTTAGGAGAGTTGTCCCCGTCCATAACTGTTCTATTGAAGAACGTGGTGGGTACCAGCACCAAGCAACTGCTGCTGTTATCGGGGAGTTGATGAAAACAAAATTTGCTGGCAATGGAATGGGACCTAAACCAACTGAGATCAGATTGATGATGAGGGGTGACCACGATGTCTCTATCTCATACTGGAAGGCATGGAATTCAAGGGATAAGGCAGTGGATAATGGGCAGGGAACTTGCAATGCCTCGTACATCCAGTTGCCTGCATATCTTAACAACATTGTCTTAGCAAATCCAGGTTCTTTGGCTAACTTGCACACAGAGCCGACAGAGCTAGGAGGGAACAGATTCAAATACATGTTTCTGGCTCTTGGTGCTTGTATTGAAGGGTATAAAGCTATGAGAAAAGTGGTTATCATTGACGGGACCCATTTGAAGGGGAAATATGCTGGTTGTTTGCTAACAGCATCAGCACAAGATGGTAACTATCAAATATTCCCTTTAGCCTTCGCCATTGTTGATAGCGAGAACGACAACTCTTGGGAGTGGTTTTTTCAAAACCTTTCTCAATTTGTGTTGAACGAAGCAGGATTGGTTTTCGTCTCTGACAGGCACCCCTCTATATACAAAGGCATATCGAAGGTATTCGGTTTAGTGGCCAACTTTATCCATAACCGTATATACTTTCATATATGAGGCTAACTAAAGTAATACCTGGTTAACAGATTGAGTAATTATGTTAACATTTAGATGATCGACTAAAGAATCTTAAATTTTGCAGGTATATCCTAATGCTGGCCACTGTGTCTGCGTTGTCCATCTGAAGAGAAACATCAGGTCCAATTTCCGTGGGAGGCATTTAGAACGTCTAGTGGCAAAGGCTGCAAGAGCTTTTCGTATGGAAGATTTTTACACAACTTTCAACCAGATCAAAGAGATGAATCCCTCATGTGGAGACTACTTGATTGATATTGGTTTTGAACACTGGGCGCGGTCTCATTTTCCTGGTAACAGGTACAATGTAATGACAAGTAACTTGGCGGAATCGTGGAATTCTGTGTTGCGCGAAGCGAGGGAGTTTCCAGTGGTCCCTTTGATTGAATTTATTCGGTTCAAACTGAGCACCTGGTTCTCTAGTAGGCGTGCTGCAGCTAACAAGCTTCGTGGGGAGGTTACACCTCGCATTGAAGGAATCCTCACAAGAAACTTTGAGATGACAGGAGGATATGAGGTTCTTGAAATTGCTGAGAATGAATATGAAATTCGTAACAAGACTGGCGTAAGTTTCCATGTTAACCTAAACACAAAGACATGCAGCTGTTTTGAATTTCAGATGCTAGCTATACCATGCTCACATGCAATTGCTGCGGCCCTGAAAGCTAAGGTAAACATAAACAACTTAGTCATTGAACAATTCAAGGTGCAGACACTCAAGATTGCGTATGGAGGAATTGTCCAACCTCAGACAGGTTCTACGGACGGTATAGAGCTGCCAACTAATATGGCTGAGCTGAACTTATCTCCACCAGCAACACGACGCCCACCAGGGAGGCCTAAGAAGTTGAGGTACTTGTCGAGGGGAGAGCAACGTGTAAGTCCTGTTACGTAGTTATCTGTGTTATTCCTGTTCCGGCAATAACGCTTTCTTATTGATATTTTTGCAGATGAAAAGCGTTCGCCGGAAGATCATGTGTAGCAGGTGCAAGGGCGTTGGACACAACAAAGCCACTTGCAAGAACCCAATATAAGAGAATGTGTGAGATGAAGTAATAGGGAGCGAACTTCTTGCGATGGGGTGACTTGTAATGGACGGAAAGGTGGAAGCTAATGGTGGACTAAATTCCTAATAATGTGTAATATAAGTATTTAGACACCATGCTGGGTATGTAGGGGGTTTGGATAAACGCTTTGTCTTATAAATAAGGGATAAGTTCTCTTCCAGGTTATACTGTTGAATATTTGTGTGTGAGGTTTAGAGAGGAAACCACAGAAAACCATATATAGTCCACCCTAAACCCAATAACTAAAGCCCACATAACCGGTTATGAAATTAATTAACCACATCATTTCTAAATGTAGCCGGTTCTAACAATAGTTAAACCTTTCTTATAGTGCTGAAGAATCCCTAAACCCTTTGCAGCATTCACTAGACACTAAACCCTAAACCCTAAACCCTAATTAATGAACCCTAAACCCTAATCGTAGACAATAAACCCTAAACCATAAACCCTACACCCGTGAACACATTACCGTAAACACTGAAGTCCACTTAGCCTGATATATGAGATACAATTGATAATTTGCTATAAGATATACAGATAGCCGGTTACGGTATTAATTATCCATAGCTTTGTAAATAATGTCTTATAGTGCTTGAAAACCATAAACCCTAATCCTTAAACCATAAACCATAAACCCTAACCCATGAACGTAAAGGCTAAACCCTAAACCCTAAACCCTAAACCCTAAACACTAAATAATGAACCCTAAACCCTAAACGTAGACAATAAACCCTAAACCATAAACCCTACACCCGTGTACACATTACCGTAAACACTAAAGAACACTTAGCCTGATATATGAGATACAATTGATAATTTGCTATAAGATATACAGATAGCCGGATACGGTATTAATTAACCATAGCATTGTAATACCTGTCTTATAGTGCTCGAAAACCCTACACCCTAATCCTAAAACCGTAATACCTAAACCCTATACCCTAAACCCTAAAAAATAAACCCTAATCCAANCTAAACCCTAAACCCTAAATAATGATCCCTAAACCCTAAACCTAGACAATATACCCTAAACCATTAACCCTACACCCGTGAACACATTCACGTAAACACTAAAGTCCACTTAGACTGATATATGAGATACAATTGATAATTTGCTATAAGATATACAGATAGCCGGTTACGGTATTAATTAACCATAGATTTGTAATACCTGTCTTATAGTGCACGAAAACCCTAAACCCTAATCGTAAAACCCTAACCCAATAAACGCTAAACCATAAACCATAAACCCTAAACCCTAAACCCAACCCTATACCCTAAACCCTAAACCCTAAACCCTTATTAATGAACCCTCAACCCCTTATCCGAAACCATAAACCCTAAACCATTAACCCTAAACCCGTGAACACATTACCGTAAACACTAAATTCCACTTAGCCTGATATATGAGATACAAATGATAATTTCCTATCAGATATACTGATAGCCGGTTACGGTTTAAATTAACCATAGATTTGTAATAGCTGATATATGAGATACAATTGATAATTTGCTAAAAGATATACAGATAGCCGGTTACGGTATTAATTAACCATATATTTGTAATAGCTGTCTAAACCCTAAACCCTAAACCCTAAAACCCTAAACCCTAATCCTAAAACCCTAACCCATAAACGCTGATCTCTAAACCCTAAACCCTAAAGCCTAAACCCTAAACCCTATACCATAAACCCTAAACCCTAAACCCTTATTAATGAACCCTCAACCCCTAAACCGAAACCATAAACCCTAAACCATTAACCCTAAACCCGTGAACACATTACCGGCAACACTAAATTCCACTTAGCCCGATATATGAGATACAAATGATATTTTCCTATAAGATATACAGATAGACGGTTACGGTTTAAATTGACCATAGGTTTGTAAAACCTGTCTTATAGTCTTCGATAACCCTAAACCCTAAACCCTAAACCCTAAACCCTAAAACCTAAAACCTAAACCTAAAGCCTAAAGCCTAAAACCTAAAACCCTAAACCCTAAACCCTTACCCTAAACACTTATGGCCACTAAGGCTGATATATGAGATACAATTGCTGTTTACATATATTATATACAGATAGCCGGTTATCGTATTAAATAACAACAGCATTTATAAATGTAG